ACAATATTAATAGTTATAAATGAAATAATATTTAACAATAAATAGATTAAATTAAATAAAAACATATATTAATTTCAATATTTATTAAACAAACTCCTTTTTTTTTTTGGCAGAAGACTTCAATACCAACAATATTCTTGTGGGTAATTGGATTATTATTATTATTATTTGGGCAAATTTCTATACCAATTTTTTTGCTTTGTCAGTGAAAGAATGAGGAATATTATAAATTTTTTTTTCTTGCAAATTCATGAATTGTTTCGATTATAGCTTTGTCGGTAAAAGAATGAGAAATATTATAAAGTATATATAGTGCCAATATTAGGTTTGTCGGTGATTATTTTCATACTACCTTTTTGTTGGTAAGTGGCTAATGTGACTTATCGGTGATTAGCCTGTATGTAGTAAAATAACTAGAGATTAGAGACATGCTTTTTGTCAATAATTTGCACTAATTTTATTGACGTGACTTACTTGAAATAAGCTCCAATAATACGGTTTCGACAATAAATTAGAGACCTGCCTTTTGTCGATAATTTAGATTAATTTATCGATATGATTTTAATTCACATTAATAAATGAATTATTGAGCAAATTTACACTGATAAATGTATTACCGACATGGTTTAAATTGAAAATTATTTTTATAGATGAGATTCCTTTTGGTTTCCCACATGATTTTTTTTGTCGGTGATGCCATGCACTCTTGTAGTGAATAGTGTTAACATAAAGTTCACGTCACCGTACGAAACCGGCTGTTCATACCATACCCATTGTTATTTGTGTTTATATTCAATTTTCCATGTATCCGTACATGTACCAGTACCAGTACATGTACCTTTGACCGTACATTTACTGTGCCGACTCCATTGTTATTTGTTAACTTTGTTTTTAGTGTTTCCTATTTTATTTTTTAAAATAAATGGTTTTTTTTAATAAGAATATGAGTTAATAGTTTTATTTTATTTTATTTTATGTATATATATTTAATATTAATTTTAATATTAATGTCAAGTGAATGAATTTAATTAAATGATTGATAAATTAAATATGAATTTTTTAAATATATATTTATTACTCCATTAATTTGTGCCTTAAAATACAATTTAAAAAAACTCTTAAATGGAATGAACAAAATTAAGACATTATAATAATTAAAATGTTAGGAATAATACTAAAAAATTTTAAATATACAAAATGAACTAAGGTACAAAGAAGATTTATCGGAAGTATTTAATTAATTTTTCAAGTAATCTTCAATGTCTTAATTTTCACTTTTATCTTTTTTTTTTTAAGTCAATTATATTATGAAAGCTTAGGTTATTGATCACTTGTTCCACTCTTCTAAGCTCTTCAACGAATCTCAAATGAGTTTTGAAAACCCCAATACTAAACTTTGCTCAACTTATTTATCATCTTACTTCTAAGCTCAAGCTCTTTCCACTTAAAAAATGATATATATATATATTTCTTTATCTTGATTGCACAATGGGAGACAACCATCTTTGATTTTTTATCTCACTCCACCAGTATGTTATGCAAGTCGAATTTAGAATCTTTTATTTCTAACTAAAAAAAATTATTATTGAACTATTTAAATTGTTGGTGATATATATATATATATATATATTTTTTAAATCATCATAAGAGGGTATCAAAAACTTGCAAGGAAAGGGTCTGTCCAATTAAACTTGGGCTGCCAGAAAATTGTACAACACTACTACAGTGCAATGGATTTTGGGCCCAGATCCAGGACCAACCCTATCTCTCTCCATCCAAGGCGAACCAAAACGGCAATGTTTCTCCCTGTCTTGTTTTGCCTCCTCTCCCTGAATCCCACTCCCACACACTCACCCACTACCACAAAATGCCTCCAATCCGGTGTTCCTCACTCCCGCGCCTCAACCTCTACCTAAACCCACTCTTCCTCTTCTCCAACTCCTCATTCTCTCCTCGAAAATTTCCTATCTCCGGACGGTCACTCATCGCGAACCCTAGGACGACGCTCTCTTGTTTTGCGTCGGCGAAGTCCGCTACCGATAATGGCGCCAGTGGAGGAGGCAGGTCCGGCGCGATATCTCCACCTCCAGTATCCGAGGAGGTGCAGAAGATCGATGTCAATCCTCCTAAAGGGACTCGCGACTTCCCGCCCGAAGACATGCGTCTACGCAACTGGCTCTTCAACCATTTCAAAGAGGTTTGTGATACATTATTCACGCTGAGAGTTTTATCTCAGTTTCTTAAGTTCGCTTGAATTGAAAGAATGATAAAGAAGAGGAGAGAAAATTGATTTTGTTTAAACAACTTCTAGTCACTTCTATGAATTTTGTTTAAACATTTATGGTTTAATTAATTGCTGGATCAATTTTGTTCTTGATGCAGGTGTCAGGCATGTTTGGATTCGAGGAGGTGGATTTTCCGGTTTTAGAGTCGGAGGCACTCTTTGTTAGGAAGGCAGGGGAGGAGATCAAGGACCAGGTTAGTTTTAGTTTTTGGTTTACTTCTTTTTGAAATCAAAGTTCTGTGTTCATTTATACAATGGAATTATTCAAATTTATGTTTGTGATTAACTTGAGTAGTGAGCTCTTAATAATCCTAACAGTGAAGGTTCAAAGTTATTTGTTGAAGTTGTTCTTGTTCAAGGAGGGTTTGTTCAAGTGGAATCTAAAATGAAAAATCTGATGATTGTTCTGTTTAGAAATTCAGGAGCTCTAACATCACAATGCCAGATAACATTTCATAAAAGCAAGCTCTGAGTGCAAATAGATGTTTATTAGTTGAAATGTTGTCTGTTTACCTTTCACTTTTGTTTCAGATCTTGTAGATATGTCAAAATCATGTTATCTTTCATTCAATGTGAACATTAACATTCTGTATGATGCAAGTTTAGACATGCACATGCAGTATATTTATATTCTTCGTTTTCTTCTGCTGCTGATTTTCAGAGGTGTAACTGAGCCCTCAAAACATCTCCTAATAGGTCAATGTTTAAAATGATAACATTCTTTTCTTCTTTCTTCCCCCTACTTGCAGTTATATTGCTTTGAAGATCGAGGAAATCGTCGTGTTGCATTGAGGCCTGAGCTCACACCTTCTCTAGCAAGGCTAGTGATACAGAAAGGGTACAGATAAATCTGATTCTACTGTTCTTGCTTGTTATGCTTAAAAAGAAACAAAAAAATCTTCTGGCTACTTCTAGACTCGATATTTTATTTTGAAAAAACCGTTTGTCATTCTGTTATTTATTTTTTTTCTATCCAGGTACAGATGCTGGAATTTGATGCCAATGTTTTTTTTTGGTCCAGAAAATCTGTGCCTCTACCATTGAAATGGTTTGCTGTTGGACAGTGCTGGCGATATGAGAGAATGACAAGGGGACGACGACGTGAGCACTATCAGTGGAATATGGATATTCTTGGCGTGCCTGAAGTTACAGTATGATTTCCTCAACTGTATTTGCTTTGCAAATGATGCAGCTGCTGTAGATGCAATTTTTCAGAACCAATTATTGTTGTTTTGGCAGTTTACAGCCTACTTAGCTTGGAAATTGGAGCATCATAAGCTTTTTATTTTTTATTAATTTTTTTTTTTCTTAAGACCATTTTTTCTTTTCCTCACGGAAAAAATGTGCACATATTCTGCCTTATTCTATTGTATTCATACTTTGTGATCACATTTCTTGGTAAAGTCTGAAGTAATCTTGCTGATAAACTTCATATGATTGTGGTGCATCTATAACTTTTAATACTTCCATAGCTGGAATACATGGTGTGGTATATATGATTCTGCTTGTTCTTTCCTTTGTCAGGATAATCATTTTTCACTTTATTTTGTAGGCTGAAGCAGAACTTATTTCCTCTATTGTCACCTTTTTCAAGAGAATTGGAATCACAGCATCTGATGTTGGATTCAGGGTTTCTAGCCGAAAGGTTTGGTCACATCTTCCTAGTTTGCAAATTGACCATTGGTTTCATAACTATTTTACTAAAGATGGATGTTTATTAGTTACTTGCTTCACTGACACCAAATTGTTATATTACATGATTAATTCATCAAGCTGTTAAGAGAAAGGACTCGCATAATTGCCTCATTTGCCAAGTGCAAGTGTATCATTTCCCTCTCTCCCCGCCCCCCCCCCCCATAGTTTGCTACTGTTGATTCTTCTTGAAGATACCGTGCATATTTTAATGCTTTTCTTTGACTCTTTCTGCAATTTGCCATGAAGATCAATAAGAATTATTAGCATATGACATGTAAATAAATGTTTACTAACAATTTGCTCTACCATTGTAATTAGGGAGTATAAAATACCTTAGCCTTTTTAATAATATTTCAAGAGTTAGTGATGTGTCTAATCTCTATTCTTTGCAGCTTTTGCAAGAAGTATTGAGATGCTACTCTATACCTGAAAATTTGTTTGGCAAGGTTTGCATTATCATAGACAAGGTTAGTTGTCTAAGGTTGCATATTGTGCACCGTGATTGCAGTAGGTAATATTCTGTTAGCAACAGTAGTCTTTTTGTAACTGTACTCTGGTCATGTGCCAAATATGAAATGGGAACAGCAGAATGCCTGGATATATGTTTTTGATCTATCTCACTATCTGTTTATCTATGTTTTTGTTAATATATTTGTTAACTATCACTTTGTTGGCTGATGGTGTTATTTACAAGAGCAGATTGAGAAGGTTCCAATTGATGAAATCAAGAGAGAGTTAAAGTCTAATGGGTTATCAGAAGAGGCTATTAAGGAGCTATTGCAAATCCTTTCCATAAAATCATTGATGAAGTTGGAAGGTTGGTTTTACAATATATTGAACTGAGTGTGATATTGTTTTTTGTTATTTCTGTGCAAAAGAAGGCATTCCAAACACCTCTTCCCCTAAATAAACCATTTTTTACTTAAGCAGAATATGAAATGACAAGGCCTTAATTCTTATTATGCATGCCAAATCTCTGTGACAATAGAAAAACTTGGAGGTGCTTGTGAGGCAATTGCTGACCTGAAAAAGTTGTTCTCACTTGCTGAAGAGTTTGGCTATTCTGAGTGGATTCAATTTGATGCATCCATTGTCCGTGGCCTTGCATACTACACTGGTATTGTATTTGAGGTTAGATTTTTATTTTATTTTATTTTTTTGATATAATTTCTTTCTTTGACATGGAGTATGGATTCATATAAATTTATTCAAGAAGACTATTCCTATCTGCTTGTGCCTATTGAGACATGGAGGGTCTGTTGGCTTAAGTTTTGATAGTAACATATAAAGTATGACAGTTCTTGCAATCAATGGTATCAATCTTTATTATAACATTTATCATCATAGACCAGGATCCTGCTCGAGGAATTCATGTTTTCCAACTTTCATTCCAGCACTACTAACATGTAGGAATGACAATAATCTCTCGAATCTTTGTCCAACTTTTTTTAATATAACAATTTGTTTCATCTCTCAGGGTTTTGATAGAGAAGGAAGACTGAGAGCCATTTGTGGTGGTGGCCGATATGATCGATTACTCTCTACCTTTGGTGGGGATGACATTCCAGCTTGTGGCTTTGGGTTTGGTGACGCTGTCATTGTAGAAGTAAGTTAAAAGTCTAGAATTTTCTTTTTCCACCATGGGAAAAGAATCTCTAATGAAGGGGGTATGCCATATTAAAATTCTTATATCTTTTTGATAAAGAAATAAGCAGTGCTTGTCCTTCCTGGAGACCAATAATGTAATGTGCTTGAAGATAAGCCAGCTTCAGGGTACTATAAATTCATAATTGTTTATTCAACTAACATACTCTGAAGCTGTCGACACTTTCGTTCAACATTTACTGGCCTTTCACATCTTGAATTTGATGAGTGTGCCATCTTAGTTAATCCTACATCTTCTGAAACCTTGCCAAAACATGACTCATCTGTGGTGGAGCCAGGATTTTATCAAAGGGTGGCCAACTGCAATAATATAAAAGAAGAAAATCAGATAATCAAATTTCATATTTGACATGTGTATTTTATTTTGTGGCTCACAGTTGTTGAAGGAGAAGGGGCTCCTACCTGAACTCAGTCTTGAAGTAGACAACATTGTCTGTGCTCTGGATGATGATCTACAAGGAGTAGCAGCTAGAGTTGCTACATTACTTAGAGATAAAGGCCAAAGGGTTGACTTAGTCTTGGAGAGTAAACCACTTAGATGGTAGAATGATGAATGCATGCAGTTTCCATATCAGATATCAATCTTTTTTAGTTTCTAAGATAATGTTTTCTGATTTTGTACTTGTTTTCTTTCAGGGTGTTCAAACGTGCTGCTCGGATACATGCGCAGAGGCTGATATTGGTTGGAACTACAGAATGGCAAAATGGTATGGTTAGTGTAAAAATCCTCTCATCCAGTGAGCAATATGAGATTAAACTTGATGAATTGGAGTGAAAAACATTGTTTTCTGTAGCAGTTGTGTGTACCTATCATGTGTATATAGGTTCTAATTTTGTCCCTTATAAATTATAACTATGATTAGGTTCGAATTTTGTTGATTCAATTATTTTCTCCTGCTAATCTACTTGTGGACTGGAGATATTCCAAGATATTAAATTATTATCAATAAAAATTTGGTTATTCTTGAAATGATTGATGTTGTCTTCTGGAGACTTGGGAGAAATATGTGGAAATGAGGAAAACTGATTGCCAGCGAGGATCAGATATATTTGGTTATTGCTACTAAGTACTATTTATTGGTCTTATCTATCCAGTTTTCAGGCCAAAATTACTTGTATTATAAACTAAAACCCCCTAGTATATTTCGCTTTTCTTTAGACTGGGGGAAAGTAGATTGAGTGGTTGACAGTTGAAACCCACCCTGAAGCATTGGGTTCTCCGTCACTAATGTGAGTCTGGTTGTTGATTTTGTGCAGTTGATTTTTTCCATTTATTATCCTCCTTACCTTTTGTTTTTGACCCCAGATACCTCATCTATTCCCCCTTTTTTTTTATGTCAAAGTTTCCAAGTCCCCAAAACAAAGTTCTGGGACCACTGGTCAATCCAACTTTAGCAGGTAACAAACAGAATCCCATCTAATTCATTGCTAAATCATCTTTTTTCATTTATATATGACCTAGGATTCAATTTTACAAAGACAGCCATTGAGTACAAATTATGATTCATAAGTTGCAATCTTTCAGTAATGTATAGTGCCAGCTTGTGGTTAGGTTATACAGCGAAAGATTGAGACCCACATCAAACATTTGATTCAGCAGGCTGAAAAAGTTGAAGAAAGAAGCTTCAGATTTACACAGCAGTCTTCAATTCAATTCGTGAGAAACAACTTTTAATTATGTTTAGTCAACAGGGTATGTCCTTTCATATTTGGTCCCATATACTTTCCGTGAAGCCGAAGCTTCCTGTGAAAAGGAGCCTCCCCTCTTCCCTGGCCAAAATTGAAGTTCTGTTTGGTTTTAGTTTTTTTATGATTGTGGAATTCAAATTATATTTTCTCCGTTTTCAAATCAATGTCATGCTAAACTGCTCTGTTTCTTTAAGTTACACCAACCGCGAAGGCTAAGTTTAATAAAATGTCTTAACCTAACTGTCTGATATCAATGTGGTCCAGATCATTTAGTTAAGAAAAAAAAGGGGAAGAGTCACGTTAAATTTCAATAGTTCCAAGTGACCTATGAGGAGCAATTAGATGCGGTTGATCCACCGCTGTGGCTGTTATATACAAGTACAGTGTAATAAATCCTTTGAGAATGGTTGAAATAATTAAGAATTTGTTATTTTAAATTAAAAAATTTAAATTTAAACCATTTTTAAGGTTAGAGACCTCAAAAATTTTAAAATTTAAATAATTTTTAAGATTAGAGATCTCAAATGTAAAAATTAAAAAAAATATTAAAATTATTTTTTATTATAATGATGTATTAATAAAAATTATAATGCAAAAAAAGTTTCTTGGTACATGTACCATCTTACCTTGCAGTCACGTGGTAATTGAAAAGTAGATGTAAATTGAATTAAGTGATTTTTTCTTTTTTATGTCAATGAACGTTACAATATCAATTGATTAAAAATTTAGATGTTGAAAAATAAAACAAATTTAAAAGTTAATTGATTAATGACTTAGAGGTTAAGATTAAACGAAATTTGAAAGCTAAGTGAGTTTTAGTTAATAGTTCATATATTTCATGAGTAGTTTGAAAGAAAGAAGTAAAATGATTAATAGGTAATTGACTTTGTCTAACTACTCATCTTATAGCATAAGCTGTGCTTTAGTAGTATAATACAACAATAAAGAACATGTATGAAAGATAAAAACCACAACTTCAAGATTGCGGAGTCTCGTACTCTCAGTCTATACATTTTTAAGTTCACTTAAAATTTATATTACAATTACAGATATGATAATATGGATATTAACACAAACAACACTAACCCCTTATGAATTGCATTAGATTTTGTAGGTCAGTTGATGGATACCACCTAATATTTTAAATAGAATTAAGATTTGAATGACATTAATATTATACAAATATTTTATTTTTCTTTATCCGAAATTGTGTCCATTTTAAAAAAATAAAAACCCTTTAGAATTTATATAAAAAAACTGCACCACACTAAAAAGCAATAATATATTGAATTAAAATGAACTTTTGATATTAAAGAGTGCCTCATCTGATAATTATCTTTCTAATAAATAAAAAATAATATAAATATATTATTTTGTAGTTAAACTATTTTAAACTATAAAATAAAAATTATTTGATTACAAGAAAGTTTTTGATATAATAATTAATGTTTATAATTAAAAATAATTTAAATTATACTTTTTTAA